CGGGCAGGGAACTCGTAGTTGCCGTAGCGCAGGGGCACGCCGTACATGTCCAGGAAGGTGTAGATGAGTGTGAACTGGAAGGCAGGGTGGGCAGGGGTGACGTGGCGCCGTGGCACTGCCTGTCCCCAGAGGTCTTGGCCAGGCTGGGTGCCGCAGGGACCCCCCAGGGCCACCCCAAACTCCCTCCAGCAGCCACAGAGAGGCCCAGAAGGGCACCGGGATGGCCACCAGCTCCAAACCCACGGCAAAAGTTGCCCCTCTCAGAGGGGAGGGAAAGATGGAGGGAGAAGAGCTCTCCCCACCTCGACCCCCAGCCCCAGGCGGGCGCTCGGTGCTCACCAACAGCAGGCAGGGGGTGAAGAAGGCCCAGCACGCCTTGAAGTAGCCCAGCATGTGGCTGCACCAGGGTGGGCACCGGCAGATCATGTCCACGATGTCCTGGCAGAACTGGTTCACGCCTGCAGGCACCCGGGGAGAGGGTCAGGGCCGTGCCCCTGCCTGCCCCCAGCGTGGCCCTGCCGGCTGCACCCGCTCCAGGGTGCCCACGACACCCCATGCTGGGGCCGAGCCGAGGTGGTGTTGGGTGCTGAACATCCACCATGCTTCGGTGGGTGGAGAGGAAATTGCATCCCCCATGCACAGGGAAAATCACAGCCCGGCTTTGCACCACCTCCTTGCAGGGCTGAGCTGCGCGTGGGCAGCAGGACGGGGTACAGAATCACGGAATCATAGACTTGTTGAGGTTGGAAGGGACCTTTAACATCATCAAGTCCAGCCATTAACCTAACCTGACAAAACCACGTCCCCAAGTACCACATCTACCCTTTTTTTAAACACCTCCAGGGATGGCGAATTCCCCCCTCCCCGGGCAGCCTCTTCCAATGGTTGATAACCCTTTCAGTGAAAATTTTTTTCATAATATCCTATCTAAACCTCACCTGGTAGAACTTGAACCCATTTCCCCTCGTCCTAGGGAGAAGAGGTCAGCCCCCACCTCTCTACACCCTCCTATCAGGTAGTTGTAGAGAGTGATTAGGTCTCCCCTCAGCTCCTCTTCTCCAGGCTGAAGAACCCCAGTTCCCTCAGCTGCTCCTCATCACGCTTGTGCTCCAGACCCCTCACCAGCTCCGCTGCCCTTCTCTGGACACACTCCAACACCTCAATGTCTTCCTTGTAGTGAGGATATCGCCCTGCCCACCCCAGCTCCAGGCTGTCCACAGCCGTGGGGGCTGGGGACTACAGAGCCTGGCCACAGTTTG